ATGTGGGTATTTCGGGGCAGAAGATCCAGATGCATCAAGCATACCCAAACCCACAACCGCCAACCCTAAACGGGTGTAGGGCTTAGGAGGGAGTGAGGTACCCTATGAAATCCCTTAAAGGGGTATATCGGTATATTACATATCTCGCCCTAAACGGGGTTAGGGTTTGGGTACCCCCAAAACCCCCGAAGCCTCAAAACCCTGAAGCTTCTGAACCTAGTCATGCATCTGCCGCCCGAGAAGCGTGGATCTGAGAATTTCGCGTCGATGCTCCTGCAGAGGCTGTCAATAGCCCTGTTGAGGGTTTAGGGTTTAGGGTTTAGGGTTTAGGGTTTAGGGTTTAGGGTTTAGGGTGTAGGGTGTAGGGTTTAGGGTTTAGGGTTTAGGGTTTAGGGTTTAGGGTTTAGGGTCCTGGTTCGGGGCCCTAGGGAGGGTCTCGGGGGTTTTGGGGGCTCGAGGATTAAAGCCCCTAAAACCCAAAAACCTTCAACCTTAAAACCCTAACCCCTAGAACCCTAAAACCCCCTACGGGGGATGTAGGGTGGTTTAAGCCTAAGGTAGCTCAGCGAGCTTCAGGTGGAGAATGAGAGTGGTTTCGGGCTCAGCGGAGAAACGCCACCCAAACCCTCACCCCCCCCTCAAGCCTGCACGACCCTCAACTCTACTGTCCCCCAAACCCTACACCCTGAACCCTGAACCCTCAGCCCAAAAACCCTAAACCCTAAACCCTAAACCCTGAACCCTGAACCCTCAGCCCAAAAACCCTAAACCCCAAACCACTAGAGCCTCATGAAACCTGCCCGACAGCTGCGTCCTGGGACCCGCACCTCGGCTCTTGACGTGCGGTCGATATTCAGTCTCTGGGCTCGAAGGTCTCGAGTTGAGGGGTTCTGGGCTTGGGGTCTTAGGGATTTAGGGTCAGGGTTTTAGAGGGTTAGGGTTTCGGGTTTAGGGCTACAGGGGCTTGGGGTTTAGGGTTCAGGGTTATAGGGGTTTGGGGTTTAGGGTTTCAGGGGGTAAGGGGTTTAGGGGTTTAGGGTTTAGGGTTTAGGGTTGAGGGTTTAGGGTTTAGGGTGTAGAAGTTAGGTCGCTACATGGGCCTTTCCGAAATGAGGGGTCCTTACTATCAGGGAATCCTACTATATGCGGGTCCATTATAGGGGTCCCTTATATATTCGTAAACTCCTAAATTCAGAGAGAGCCTAAAAAGCAACATCCACACCACAATCCTCCAGACTGCACGCCTAAAGTCCTCAACCCCGAACCTAACCTGAACCTCAAAATTCCTCAATCACAATGCCGAAACCCTAAACCCTAAACCCTAAACCCTAAACCCCTAGAACACGGGAGGTAAGCCAGGGAGTCGAGGCACGCAGACGTCGACATCGCTCGTTGGGGTCCAGAAACCTGCGTGCCGGTGGCGCGGCGCTTGGGGTTTAAGGGGGGCTTAAGGGGATTAAGGGGTTTAAGGGGTTAAGGGGCTTTTATTCAGGGGTTTAAGGGGTTTGGGGGGATTTAGGGGATTTGGGGGTGGAAGGTGTTTAAGGGATTTAAGGGGCTGAAGGGGTTTAGGGTTCAGGGTTAAGGCGTCTTAGCTCTGAGGGTCTAGGGGCTCAGGGTTTGAAGGCCTAGGGTTTTAGAGCCATTGGGTTTGAGGGTCTAGGGAAAAAGGGTTTAAGAGTCCATAGGCTCCAGGCATTGAACGTATCAGGGCTTTTGCGGGGGTTATAAGGGCTTTTCACCTTAAGAGTTGACTGTTTAGGTTTTCTGGCTTGGTAGGGCCTTCAGGGGGACTAAGGTAATTCCACCTCAGCGGCCCTTTCTCAAGATATGCAGGAGGTTCTGAAATTTACGAGTCTTGTCGCATGTGTATTTTAAGAAAATGGGACGCTGTGGGAGTGCACTTTTTTCACAAAAAAACACGCAAAACTTGAAAAACAAAACTAAAAAACACACGAAAAACGTGCAACAAGAAATACTACACAAAAAACCCTACAAACAAAAAACTAAAAAAAAAACAATCCTGAGGGACTTTGTTGCGGAGCCGGACCCCTGGGAAGAGTCTCTCAGGATTGGTTGTTTTGTTTTATTTTTTTTTAATGGTTTTTTTGTTTTTTTGGTTTTTTTTTGTTTTTTTTTGGTTTTTTTGGCTTGTGTATTATTGGAGATGTTGCTGCATTGTTTTTTTGTACGGTTTTTCGGTGTCTTCTGAAGGGTGTTTTTTGGGTTTAATTAGGCTTTTTGGTGTTATTTCATTTTTGCACGCTTTTCTTCTACAATTGTTTTTGGTATTTGTGTTTTGTGTCTGGTTTTATATTCCTGAGTGCCCTTTTGCACGTGACAAAAGCACTAACATGGACAATCAAGCACCCCGCAGTATGTGTTTCTCTCATCTGGCGGGCGATGAACGAAGTGTCCTGATGCTTGCGAGCGAGAGACGTGACAAAATTCTCTCAAGGTCCTGCTTTGCACAAATTTAAACAACATTGATATATTATCCATGAATTTCGTGCTCCCAGCCACATGGTTTGAAAAGCATGGATTTTTTGGAAAGCATTGGCTTTACCGATGTTTTTCGGCTCTATCCTTCAAAAAAATTGTAAAACCAATGTTATCCATGAATTTCGTGCTCGCAGCCACATGGTTTGAAAACCATGGATTTTGGAAAACGTCGGTTTTACCAATGTTTTTCGGCTCCATCCTTCAACAACATTGGTAGAACCAATGTTTTCCATGAATTTCGTGATCTGAGGCTCTCTCCTAGCCACCATTTCTCGAGGAGGTACCAAAAAACTCGAATCCTGCAAAATCTCGAGAGAGTACCAAAAACCTCCATATAATCAATCACGCCCCAACACGCAAAGCATGACACCTATCCGAAAAAAATTACCTTAGCTAGGATGTCTCAAGCAATCATCCCCAATAAGCAAAACCGAATATCTATACTAAACACTGTACCTTAGCAACATATTCTAAGACATCACGCCCTAAGGCTCCTACCAATTTAATAAGGTTCCTATCAATTTAAACAGGGTTCTTATTCATGTTACTGGGATTCGCAAAGGGTTTTAATTAAATTTTAAGGATTAGGCTCATATTAGTTTAGGGATTCTATTGTTTTTCAGGCCTATTGTTTCCTATTCATTTTAGTCAGATTCCTTCTCGTTTCAATAGGATTCCTGTGAATTGTAACTTGGGTTCTTTTTGATTTGTCAAGGGTTCCAATTCATTTTAATAGGCTTCCGTCCCATTGGGTTCCGATAATTCAATAGAGGATTCCTATTCAGTTTCATAAGATTCCAATAAAGTTTCATAGGGTTCCTAATTATTTTAATAAGGCTCCTACTCATGCAATAAGATTCCCATCAATTTTAATCAGATTCTTGTTCATGTTAATGGGATTCGTATTAATATTCATAGGGATCTCATTCACTTTAAAGGGGTTCCTATCGGTTTAGGCTCATGTTCATTTTAGTAGAAGTCTTATTGTTTTTCTAAGGGTTCACATTTGTTTATAGGAGTCCGATTGGTTCGTATTAATTGTAGTAGGGTTCCTCTTCAGTTTAATAGGATTCCTATCAATTCTACGAGGATTCTAATTTTTTGTGAGGGGCCTCCCATTCACTTTAAGAGGCTTCCTATTGTCTTTACGGCTCCGACCTACGGATGTAAATAGAGGATTCCTATTGCTGTTTCTAGGATTCCAATAAAGTTGGCCCATTTATTTTGCAAACGGGGGCAGGACATACACCGTATCGCTGCTTTGTGTTGGCGCACTTGCATGTTGTGCATGACTCGTGATTTTGTTTATATAAAATACGGGCACGCTGTGAGTGTGTTTTAAAATAGCTTTAAACAAATAGAAAAAAGTGCACTCCCACAGCGTCCGGTCTCTATTTTAAGGGGGGTTCTCTGGCAATGATATTTGGGGTTCTACCCGAAGCCGATCCGAATATTCAGAAGCCCTACATCCAAAACCCTACTAAACCCTACCCCAAAACAAAATGGACCCAATGGCAAGGCCCCCCGACCATTGACGACGGATCCGAAGGGGGACAGGTCTGCCCCATCCTCGATGTGTGGGCGGGGGGGCGGGGGGGCGACAACCCCGATGTGGGGTTTGGGGTTTGGGGTTTGGGGTTTAGGGGTAGGGTTTAGGGTTGAGGGGTTAGGGGTTAGGGTTTAGGGCTTAGGATCTAGGGTTTAGGGTTGCAGGCTAGGGTTGAGGAATTCAAAAGAATGCTTGCAGTGGACAGAAAAGCCGAGGGCGCGACGATGAGCTGGGCGAGGTGCTCTTGCAGCCTACAGGTGGGCAGCTCTCAAATCAGGGTCCCTGTTTTCAGATGGGAAACTGCCCAGGTGCAGCTGTGCAGTTTCTCGGTGGGCAGGCAACATGCCACAAACCCCCAACCCTCGTCCCTGAACCCTCGGCCCTTCGGGCATCTTGATGCAGTTTAATCTTGAAGCGACCCCCCCAAAACCCTAAACCCTAAACCCTAAACCCTAAACCCTAAACCCTAAACCCTAAACCCTAAACCCTAAACCCTAAACCCTAAACCCTAAACCCTAAACCCTAAACCCAGCTCCCGAAGAGATTGCAAGTGGTCTGCTCGCCAGCGCGACACGGGTTCAGCGGAGTCCCGGCTTCCCTTTTCCAGCTTAGGGTTTGCGTTTAGGGTTTAGGGTTTAGGGTTTAGGGTTTCGGGTTTAGGGTTTAGGGTTTGGGGTTTAGGGTTTAGGGTTTAGGGTTTAGGGTTTAGGGCTTGCAAGTGTTACTTCTTGGTACCCCGATAACCTTAATATTATACGGGCACCCTTATTGGGGGTGGGTTGCTGTATCAGGGAGCCCATAACCCAAGAAAAGGGTAAAGGGCACCACTGGGCAAACCCTAAACCCTAAACCCTAAACCCTAAACCCTAAACCCTAAACCCTAAACCCTAAACCCTAAACCTTAACGGGTAACCCATAACCCGAAGAAAGGGCAAAGGGCACCACTGGGCTACCAAGGCAGCTGAAGCCTCTTCAGGAACTCATCCTTTTGGGCGACCAGATCCGGACTGGGCTGGAGGTCAGCAGCATATTGCGCCAACTCCTACAAAACAGGGTTCAGGGTTTAGGGTTTAGGGTTTAGGGTTTAGGGTTTAGGGTTTAGGGGTTAGGGTTTAGGGTTTAGGGCTTAGGGTTTAGGATTTCGGGTCTAGGGTTTAGGGGTGTAAGGGTCTGGTTCGGAGCATTTGTAGGGTCTAGCCTTCCGGTGGGTTTCGGGAGGTACGGTTTAAGGTTTTGGGCGGAAATTTACGCATCCTCCCCCCCCCCCCCCCCCGGCGAACCTAAACCCTCAACCCTTAAACCGACAAACTCAACCCTGAGCATTGGGTAAGCTTTGGGCACCTATATTTTTCCAAGTGCTCAATGTGCATGGAACGCTGCTTCTGATGTTTCAAGAAGAGCCCAAGACCCGGAGGCAACCGCAGCTGGGGGTCCCCCGAATACAACCCAAAAAGTATCCCTAAACCCCCTAAACCCCCTAAACCCCCTAAACCCCCTAAACCCCCTAAACCCCCTAAACCCCCTAAACCCCCTAAACCCCCTAAACCCCCTAACCCCCTAAACCCCCTAAACCCCCTAAACCCCCTAAACCCCCTAAACCCCTAAACCCCCTAAACCCCCTAACCCCCTAAACCCCCTAAACCCCCTAAACCCCCTAAACCCCCTAAACCCCCTAAACCCCCTAAACCCCCTAAACCCCCTAAACCCCCTAAACCCCCTAAACCCCCTAAACCCCCTAAACCCCCTAAACCCCCTAAACCCCCTACCCCCTAAACCCCCTAAACCCCCTAAACCCCCTAAACCCCCTACCCCCTAAAACCCCCTAAACCCCCTAACCCCCTAAACCCCCTAAACCCCCTAAACCCCCTAAACCCCCTAAACCCCCTAAACCCCCTACCCCCTAAACCCCCTAAACCCCCTAAACCCCCTAAACCCCCTAAACCCCCTAAACCCCCTAAACCCCCTAAACCCCCCCTAAACCCCCTAAACCCCCTAAACCCCCTAAACCCCCCCCCTAAACCCCCTAAACCCCCTAAACCCCCTAAACCCCCTAAACCCCCTAAACCCCCTAAACCCCCTAAACCCCCTAAACCCCCTAAACCCCCTAAACCCCCTAAACCCCCTAAACCCCCTAAACCCCCTAAACCCCCTAAACCCCCTAAACCCCCTAAACCCCCTAAACCCCCTAAACCCCCTAAACCCCCTAAACCCCCTAAACCCCCTAAACCCTAGACCCTAATGTGGAAAACCCCAGTCCTGGCTCAGCCGCTGCGCCACTTCGGGCGGAAGCGCCCGCGCGCTCCCGCCGTCTTGCCGACGCCTGCATAGAAACTGCGTCTGGAAGGGCTTTGAGTGTTGGGAGTTGGGTGTTGGGCTTAGGGCTCTTCAGGGTTTAGGGTTTCTTAGGGTTTAGGGTTGGGGTTTAGGGTTTAGGGTTTAGGGTTTAGGTTTAGGGTTTAGGGTTTAGGGTTTAGGGTTTAGGGTTTGGGGTTTGGGGTTTGGGGTTTGGGGTTTGGGGTTTGGGATTTGGGATTTGGGGTTTAAGGTTTGCTGTGGTTCCCATGTTCCCGGACATCTTGGTTCCATGAGTCGCAAATTCTAGTGCTTGATGCCAACTGGCTTGCGTGCCGAAACCCTTAGGCCCTAAACCCTAAACCCAAAAAACCCTAAACCCTAAGCCGTAAACCCTAAACCCTAAACCCTAAACCCTCAACCAAAAAAACCCTAAACCCTAAGCCGTAAACCCTGAACCCTAAGCTTTTAGGTCCCTCCCCGTATCTCCCAGTCCTCCACCAGGCGGACAATGAAGCCGGCTTGTCTTCGCCAGTTCGGGTTACCTGCCCGGGCGGGACCGCGACTCGGATTCTTAGCGTTTGGGGGTTTAGGATTTAGGTTTAGGGTTTAGGGTTAGGGGATTGGGTTTGGGGATTTTGGGCTTTAGGCGGTTTGGGCTTTGGAGGGTTAGGGTTAGGGTTCTTTCGGGGGTTGGCGTTGCGAGGGTTAAGGTGGAGAGTTTAAGGTTGCACCAGCGGAAAACTTGAGGGTTTAGGGTTTGGGGTTTAGGGTTTGGGGTTTAGGGTTTGGGGTTTAGGGTTTAGGGTTTAGGGTTTAGGGTTTAGGGTTTAGGGTTTAGGGTTTAGGGTATAGGGTTTAGGGTTTAGGGTTTAGGGTTTAGGGTTTAGGGTTTAAGGTTTAGGGTTTAGGGTTTAGGCTTTAGGGGTGTAGCCAAAAATCACCCTCAACCCTGCCTGCGCCAGCCCGGTACCTGCATCCAGTGCACAAAGCACACGCGCAAACTCAAGATGAGAGGCTCCCTAAATTCGGGGCCATTTGTCGGGTTGTTGGGTTCCTACTAGAATACATAGTCATGTGGGGGGGAGTCTCTAAACGATGGTCCCTTCCTATCTCAAACGTACCTAAAAAGTGATCAGAATTTCGAGAACTGCCCATATGGTGCTCAGACAGTGATCCAATCTAGAAAGCTGCTACATACAAAACACATCAGACAGCACCATGCAGTCCATCGACCTGGAACCCTGAGCCTAATGCGACGGCCGCTTCCATAGACGGGAAGTCTTCCATTCAAACTCTTGCGGCTGCGCACGCGAAGAGGATGATGGCGAATTCGGGCCCAGCGCTTGCAGAGGTGCAGACGCCGCACACCGGCGCAACAGCAATGGCCTTGCATTTGGGGCTGACAGTGGTCGGGGGGGGGAACTTCTACCCCAACCCTCAATCCTAAACCCATCAGCTCAAGGGGGGCAGGGTGCTTCGGGGTCCGCACCACGGCATGAAACAGAGTCGCAGCCCTAAACCCCAAACCTTAAACCCTAAACCCTCAACCCCTAAACCCTAAACCCTTAACAAGCAGCCACACCAATCCCTGACCAGCTCCTGATTTGAAGTTGCTTAAACCCCTACCTCAAGAACCGAGAACCTACTTTTTGCAGGTAACCTAAGAATCCGATAAAGGGTTTTACTATAATACGAACCTACAAAAAGCAGGTTTGGGGTTCTTAAGGCAAACCCTAAGGTTTTGTTGTAGGGTGTTTAGGGTTGTTGCAGTGACTTGGTAGCCCAGTATCCATGTTATAATAAGGGCACCCTTTTTGGGTTGGCTATTTTATCAGGGAGCCCATAACCAAAAAAAAAGGGTAAAGGGTACCACTGGGCTGCCAAGGTGATCATAATTATATTGCACTCCTTCAGTTCCATGTGCAGGGGCTACTAGGAGCTCTGGAGACTACTCAGAACTTGAACTCCAAGCGCGGATCAGGGCACATTGCATTATGTTACCTTTCAGGGTTGGAGTTTAGGGCTTAGGTTTTAGGGTTTAGGGTTTAGGTTATAGGGTCCAGGGTTCAGGGCTCAGGGTTTGGGATTAAGTTGCATTCCATTGAAGTACTTCGCAAGGACAATACAACTACATTCCAGCCATATCCATGGCAATTGCACTGCACGTGCATGACATATAGTAAAACAATGTCATTGTTGAGTTGCAGTTCCTGTACATGAACATACATGAACTACATGTACACTACACTTAAACTTACGTGCACTAGCATTACAACGCAGATTAGGCCCCAACCGGTTTGTGACAATGACTAGCACTTACATGCAAGTAGATTTACATTACTTCTGCAGTACTTCCCCATTACAACTACATTTACACTCACATTACATCGCCGGCACATTGTACTAAACGATGCCACCTCCCTCCCCCCTGCGGCCTGGCCAGTCGGGAGGACCCCAGAAGCGATACCAGGGCCATGGCGATGCTGTCTTGGATTCAGCAAGGCTGTAGGTTTACTTGGCTGCACTTAGCAGGGTAGCTATGAATTTAATTTTTAGCTGCTTTATTAAGAAACCCACTAAACGCCAAAAGGCTAGGGATCTAAAGTTACAGTAAAGCACCACAAAGGATTCAGCAAGGCTGCACCTCGAGGTCTCCGCCCTTGAAAGCATCGCGTGTTCAGGGATGGTGGCTTTACTGTGTGAGCCTATGCTGGCATCTTAAATCTAGGTTTAGGGTTTAGGGTTTAGGGTTTAGGGTTTAGGGTTTAAGGTTTAATTAAGGTTTAGGGTTTAGGGTTTAGGGTAAGGTCCTTAACAAGAACCCAGATAAGGTCTGGTTGGTTGAAGCCCTGCAGCGGAGCATGAGCCACAGCGTCTGCCGAAGATCACAGCGGATCGGAGAAACTCAAAACCCGGTGCGCCCTTGAGGGTTTTATCCGGAAGGGAACCATGCGCCTGCGATACCTGAAAACTGAAGCTTAACCCAAACTAGAAACCCAACCAAAAACAAAGAACCCTGAACCCGAAACCTGCTAAAACCTCAAGCCCAGAGAAAACGGCCTCTCGCACAATGGAAAATGAATTGACCCGGTTGTCGTGCCGACTGGCCGCTTTGCCTGGCACATGTTCCACGTCAAGCATTGCAGGCCCCTTAAACCCTAAACCCTAAACCCTAAACCCTAAACCTTTGACTCAGACCCCAAACCCTGAACTTCCCATGGCGGGACACCGTCTTAGAGGCGTTTTAAGAAGAATCCCGTGCCCAGGACCCCGGAGAACCGGAAAAAAACAATTACAGTATGGTGCCGAGGAGGGCCCGACGTAGAAGCGCACCAGGAACATCCACGAATCCTCCTTGACGTAAGACTAGACTCAAGAGTGACCTGGGAGTAAAATGCGCGCACCCCTTTTTTTGGTTTAAAGGGGGTTATAAGGAACCCAAAAAAGGGAATGAGAGCCTACTCTGGGTTCTGCAAGATGACGACCTGAACTCCAGGCGTTCTCCCCGAAACCCTGCAACCGCTCACGAAGGTCCTGTCCCCTGACTTGGTGTTCCGGCTTCCTAAATGCCCAGGCCCGAAACCTTCCTCTGCTCCGAAAGCCCTAAACCCGAAACCCGAAACCCTAAACCCTAAACCCGAAACCCTAAACCCTAAACCCTGCCGGGAGTACCGCCGTGGCCGTGGCCATGGCCCTCGCCGTGGGCGGAGCTGTGGGCATCGCCGTGGCCGCCGTACCCTTGCTGCGGGCTTGGTTTAGGGTTTAGGGTTTAGGGTTTAGGGTTTAGGGTTTAGGGTTTCGGGTTTAGGGGGTTTGAGGGTGTAGTAGATAGGGGATAGGATTAGGGGGACCCTTGGAGAAATAGTGCTAAGAAGGGGTACCCTTTGAAGGGTCCCCCTTATCCTACCTAGGAGTAGAGGGGCTTTGATCATTAGAATAGGGTTTTGGAGGGTAGTCGGAATACAATTGTAAAGGGACCATCAGGGAATACCATTCGTAATTATTCCGACCCCTTAGATTGGTGTCCTACAGTAGGCAGGGTGTAGTTTAAAGTTTAGAGGGGAGGGCTCTCTCGGCCACAAAAATGCCTTGTAGGGTGGGATGCAGGGAGCGGGAAGGGGGGGAGGGAGAGAGGGTCAACTCAAGATTAGCCCAAACCCTCACGCAAACATGAACACCCTAAACCCTAAACCCTAAACCCTAAACCCTAAACCCTGAACCCTCAACCCTAAACCCCAACCCGTCGACTCGGGCCCCTGGCCACCACCGTGGCCGCCTCCGTGACCATGGTCCTGAGAAACTTCTCTGGCTTTCAAGGATCAGGGGTTTAGGATACTACCCAAGCCCTAAACCCTAGTCCCTAAACCGTACACTTTTTGCGTTCCGGGGTATGTTGTTCGGATGCGTTTAGGACTTTAGGGCCTTGGGGGTGCTCTTTGGGATGAGGAATTTAAGGCGTCTTCCTTCACAGCGGCAGAAGATCTCATCGGTTGAAAAAAAGGCTCCCAGCTGCTTCCTCAGGATGCCTTTTTTAGGGTTCAGTGGTTAGGGTTTAGGGTTTAGGGTTTAGGGTTTAGGGTTTAGGGTTTAGGGTTTAGGGTTTAGGGTTTAGGGTTTAGGGTTTAGGGTTGCATGGCTTTGGGTGTTGAGGTCTGCTTTGAGCTTGGGGAAGAAGTTGCGTTCACAAGTGATACAGTCTCCCTAAGCTCTAAACCCTAAACCAAAAACCCTAAACCCTAACCCGAAACCCTAAACCGCAATTATTGCCACACGAACCTCCAAATCTTGGACATGCTGACAGGTCCTCTGTGCAGTTCTCGTCATGGCCGTGGCCATCACCGTGGCCGTCATGGCCGCCATGGCCGCCATGTCCCTGAGGGTTTAGGGTTTAGGGTTTAGGGTTTAGGGTTTAGGGTTTAGGGTTTAGGGTTTAGGGTTTAGGGTTTAGGGTTTAGGGTTTAGGGTTCAGGGCTTCGGGCTTAGGGTTTAGGGTGCGTCTCCACTTCATTGGGAGAAAATGCTTTAAGGTTTCGGGCTCAGGGCCTTAGGGTTTGGGACTGCCATAAACTTCAAACACTTCAGCGCCCCTAACCACCACGAAGCAAACATCAAGGCATGGGAGAGAAACCGCAAACTCTGAAGCAGTGCCTCAAAGGACTATGACACCCTAAGCCCTAAACCCGAAACATCACGCCCGGCTTCCATGCCCACACCCGAAACATCATGCTCACCCCCTTTTCAGCGATCTTTGCTCCGACCCTTCAGACGTCTCAGCACCCTCCTGACACATCAACGACACAGACTCGTCTCGTTCCATGCGGCCTCATGTCCACCGTGTCCACCTCAGGGCGTGCAAAGCTGGGCGCCAGCTGTGTGGGCAACATCGGGTCACAGACCCTATACTACCATAAAATTCTTATCAGGACATATAAACCCTGGACCCTAAACCCTTTTAGGGTTCATGTGGTCCCCAAGGCAGCTTAGGGTTTACCGTTTAGGGTTTCGGGTTTGAGGTTTAGGGTGCAGGGTTCAGGGTTTAGGGTTCAGGGTTAGGGTGTAGGGTTTAGGGTTTAGGGTTTAGGGTATAGGGTTTAGGGTTTAGGGGGTTTACTTTAAGGGAGGTGGAGTCGCACAAGACTTCTCTGCCACCTGAACTACCAAACTTCCGAAGCCTGAGGCCCTCAAGGAGAAGACCTCCTGGTTATTGGGTACCCTCTCTCCCCCTGAACATACATAAGTACTATAATATATATATATGTAGAAATATATATGTATATATATAAATAACTGTCTATATGTGTATATATGTTTATGTATTTATTTATACCCTGTAAGGGACTGGTTCAAGGGATTATATAGGGTGCCTTTACGGGAATATTTAGGGTACCTCACTCCCTCATTCCGTACTAAGAGCCAAGAATAAGAAGAAGAAGAAGAAGCAGGAGCTCTCATCCAAAAATCTGCAGCCCCACAGCCCAACCCCTCTCCGAGCTCCAGGCCGTGTGCTAGCTCAGGGGCAACCTGTTTGGGGTTCAGGGGTTAGGGTTTAGGGTTAAGGGTTAAGGGTTAAGGGTTTAGGGCTTCGGGTTTAGGGTTTGGGGTTTGGGGTTTGGGGACTGGGGTCTGCCCCCCCCCCCCTTCTCCTGCTCAACTGTGGGAGATAATGCCTCTGCTCTAAGCCCCGAAACCGTAAACCTTGGTTCTAAGTTCTGAAACGGTATATGTAAGGCCGTGGACAAACTAGGTGGGAGTAGCAACCCTTGCATGTTGAGCCCTAAACCCTATGCGGAGCTGCAACTGGTATTGTAGAAAAGAGTTGGTGATGGGAGTTGAAGGGGTCAATGAACCCGGATATTTTTGGCTCAAGAAACGTGGGCAATGCGCCCTACGGAAAAGGTGTGTTTGGTTGTGCTTTGGGTTTTGTCTTCGGTTGTTCCAGGGGAATCAAGGGCTTCTGTTGGGGCTGACTGTTTTGTTCCCTGTCCTCCTTCGGTTGCCCCCCGGAGGTTATGAGCCCAAATTAGGCTTCCTGCGGAATTGGTAAAGATTTTTCGTTTGTTTAACGCCATGGACATGATGCGGCGTCGCTCTGAGCCTGGACTGTCGCCAACGGCCAATGAAGCCGAAGGAAATCGTGGTGATGGGGGTGAAGATCGACAACAAATGGTACAAGCACTGACAGATGGTAGGGAGGTTGCAATGATACAACCAACGCCTCAGGTGGAAAACGAAGTGGTTCCGGTTCAAGCAGCAAATCCTTTCTGGAGCGAGCGGGCTCAAGAAGAAATGAGACTTAGGCAGTCAAGGCCGGCAAGTCTTCCCGCGAGCGGAGGGGATAGGAGTGGTGAAGGTACGAGAAGACCGCCTTCGCTGCAAGATCTTTTGGGTCAGGAACCTGCACCTGTTGAGAGACCATCGTCAGGCTTAATGGGACAAATGGAACGAGGTACTATTGGTGGAGTGCAAGCCGACGAAGAACTCATTCCTGATGTTAGTGGTGAAGAGCAATCTGAAGATATGGCGGTGGTGAAGCGTGCGCTGAAAGAGTTGCTTGTGCAGACAAAGGAGCTGGGGAACAGGTTGCATCGGGTGGAGGAAAAAAGCTATACCTCTGCTGCATCTGGGTCAGCTTCAAGGGCACGGAGCTCTGGAGTGGTGGACGCAAACACGGCATATCCTCTAGGAATGACTCCAGAGAAGCAGTACCTGCCAGGACAAGTTTTCTACACGGATGGTATGGGTGGTTTTTGGACTGTGTTGCCTGATGGGACATGGCTGCCTATTGAGGGCTACGACCTGCCAAAGGGTTGTGATCTTCAATCCTTGCCTGGGTCCAGGAAGGGGGATGTTCAAGTGGAGGATGAAAAAGAAGTGCCAATGATGCATGTAGCTGAAGGGAAGAAACCCTCCAGATTGCCTCCATTGAATTACCCCACGGGAGGTCCTGCAAGTGGTGGATATGCAAGTGGACCACCT